TTGCCATAGTTAATAAATTCCCAGTATTCTAGACCTTTGATAGAGTTCAGCCTTAAAAAAGCTGTTTATGCAGTTACTATGCTTGAAATGAGACTGATTAATCAACATTAATAAATTCTTGATGCTGACTGGGCTACAGTGATATTCAGAAGTGAAACTGCAAGAAGACATTAACGGTTTTCATATCACCAATGGCACTTCTCTTCTTCTACCAAAAGTTGGCCAGCCAAAATAATAAGTTGGATAAAAGGTAAACTTTCTAATGATGTACCTCTTGTATGTTCCTCGAATGATGAGGAGATCATTGGAAAGATACTACATTCTGATAAGTATAAGGAGAGGTGATAGTGATGACAATCACATCATGATCATGTGTGAAAAATACCCACAAACCATACAGTGTGAAAAATGTATTATCAGTGAAGTACTGACCTTGAACCATGCATAATAATAACTTGAGCTAGTGGTTAGAAGTACAGATTAAGGCTAGTGATTACCAGTATGGTAGGGACCCCAACATACCCATTTCCTTAATATCCTTGAGAAGACCCATATAATGAACCACATATATCACATAGGTATTATGTTAGTTTGAACTGAGTTTTAATAAATATTTTTCCTAGAAATAAGAAACATTTTTTCTGACTAAGATGTAACATAACATTTTAGCATTAACATGTATTAAGGCTTTCCTTCATGGGTATAGTTGAAAAACATACATATGTAAGTGAATCAGGTACTATTAATTTCGTAGAAAATCTGAGTGTTTTGGGAAAGTGGGTGGAGTGATTGGCATTGATTTATAGGTAGGGAAAGAAAATTGGAAACGCAAAGAAGTTTTGTAAGCCAAGCATTCTACCTGTTTTCTTATTAAAAATAATTGCATATACTGGGTGCCATGGCTTATGCCAGCTATTGAAGAGGCAGAGATTGGGAAGATTCCAGTTCGAGGAAGCTTAGCCAGAGAAAAGCTCATGTGATCCCATCTGAACCAATAAAAGTTGGATATGGTGGTATGTATGCATCTGCCCTTCTAGCTATGTGGGGAGTGTAAGTAGGGGAGAATTGAGGTCCAGGCAAGTCTAGGCATAAAAGTGAGATCTTGTTAGAAAAATAACTAAAGCTGGAGGTGTGGCTCAAGTGGTAGAGTGCCTGTCTCACAAAGTGCAAATCTATGTGTGCATCTCTGCATTCTGGTCTAATGTATTGACTTTTCTCAAGATTGTCTGTTTCCTTTATGCCAATGCCAAAATACTTAATATCCACATTTATACTCTTCTATGTTTTGTGGCTCTGTAGTCTACATATATTTGTAGCCTGGAAGATTTCATGAATTAGGCAAACATTTTTCATAAAGGACCAGACAGTAAGTGTTTTAGGTTTTGTGTGCCGTATTGTCTGTTGTCTGCATGTAACTACTCAATCCTGTCTTTGTGTCAAAAAAAGCCAGTAGCCAATATACAAACAAATGGCTTTTACTGTGTTCCAACAAAATTTATTTACAAACACAGACTGTGGACAGATTTCGCCCTTGGGACACATATTTTCTTTACTTAAATTTTTATCTCATTTCTAACATCTAAGGTAATTAATTTTATTGAGTTTTTTATTCATGCATTGCATTTATGTATGTATTTAAGATGCATTGATATATGGTCTAAATTACTCATATAAAACAAGTTAAGGGGGAGGAATGAATTGAACAGCCTTTGGCCTTTGAGAAGTTCTTGGACTGCTCACTGTTTTAAACTTTGTCTAATGGGTAGGCACAGGAGTGTGTACAAATTACTTTGGGCTTTAATTTTCTTGTTGGTAAATGTTTAGTCATTTATTTTTAACAATAATATCTCCCTCATGGAGTTAATGAAAGGATGAAATGGAAGATAACTGTACCATAGGAAGTATTACTATTGTTAGGATTGCTGTCCTTCTGAGTCTCTTGTGTATTCCCAGATGATATATTTCTTATAGAGAAATTTGATAGAGGCAGAAGGAAGGGACTTCACTTCTAAGATAGGGGTATACTTGTTATTAATTTTTTATGTAAGAGTTGATAATAGAAAAACAAGTGATTATTTGAATGGAAAGACTTACAGTAGGAATATAAGTAGTGGCTGGTTGAGTGGATGAAAGGTCTGAAAATGTAGACAAGAAAATAAACTTTCATTAGCAAGCTATGGATTATATGAGGATGTCAGCAATGGGATCTCTGAGTGGGGCACATTTGTGGGAACCTAGAATTGGGCTGTGTGTGTAAAGTTTAGAAACTGAGAAGGAAAAGCATAGTCAGAAACCATAAATAATTGCTTAAATGCCCCATTTCCAGAACAATTCTGAACTTCATACAACAGCATATGCCTTTGGAAGGAAGAATAGTTTCTGTGTCTCTCCAAGGGTACTGAGTTAAGTAATAACTAACTGTGCTTTTGGCTCAGATGTATAAGGTTGCTTATGCATATTTAAAATTCCTATCCACTGCAGTGACAGCTGCTGAACAATGTAGATGAGAAGATAAATTTCAGTTGAATCCCAAAACACTTTTGAAGCAACTCTGACAAAATAATGCCATAAACCATTAAGTCCAGATTTCCTGGATATCTTTGAAAACCTGTCATATAATCATTTTAGACAAAGGAGCTATGTATGGGCTTCTAATAAGTAGCCCCACACATCCCAACAATTTAGCTTGGGGTTAGTTATTCTCTGTTCTAATTTTGAATTGGTATGCTTTGAGTAGTCACTTGGAGCAACAGAGTTCTTACCTAATGCAGCTTAATACTATGAGGTTATGTATCTACTAGGCATGGTGGCATGACCTTCAAGCAAAATAATCACATCATTGTATGTTTTAAAGTAGCTTAGTAGATAAAAATTCCAAATGCTAGAAGATAGCTCTGAGTGGTTTAGGTGTATGACCTTGAATTATTTATGAGCATTTGGGATATAATATCTAATGACTCTCATTATTGAGATCCCTGAGGGATTTAAAACTGGCTTCTGTGGTAGTGGGGAAAGAACACTGTATTTTAGTGGTCTAGAATTCTTTGCTATTATCTTAACTATCCTGCTTGCAGGTTTAGAATTTGGACAGCCACACTTGGGTCTTTGTCACCTCATCTGAAAGGTGAAGGTTCTGTACTCAATGACTTCCAGCTGTGAAATTTGTTAAATTAAATTCTAGGCCTGCCTTCCTTCCTCCCTCCCTTCTTCCCTTCTCCTCTTCCTCATTTTTCTTCTTCCTTATTTCTCTTCTTTCTTTTATTTGTCAGTGCTTTGTCTTTTGGAAGATCTATGTCCCTTCTCTAGTTTGTTCCATCCTGGGTCTAGTTTATTGTGGATAGGTATTAGAATTTTTCTCTTGTACAAAACAAAGATGCCATTGAAAATGACACGACCATGATAAAGCGAGAGCACACAAGGGAGATACGAGGATAGGTAAGACACCTACAAAACTAGACAGCATTTGTTGCCCTCAACGCAGAGAAACTAAAGCAGATACTTTAAAGCAACTGAGGCCAGTAGGAGAAGGGAACCAGGAACTAGGGAAAAGGTTAGTTCAAGAAGAATTAACCTAGAAGGTAACACACATGCACAGGAAATCCATGCGAGTCAACTCCCTGTATAGCTATCCTTATTGTAACTAGTAAAAACCCTTGGTCCTTCCTATTATTGCTTATATTCTCTCTTCAACAAAATTAGAGATAAGGGCAAAATAGTTTCTGCTGGGTAAGGGGGGGATAAGGGATGGAGTGGGGGGGATTAGGGAGGGGATGGGGGAAGGGGGGGAGAAATGACCCAAACATTGTATGCGCATATGAATAAAATAAAAATAAAAAAAAATAAAAAACTAAACAAAAAGAAAAAAAATAATGACATCACCAGATTTAAGGATAGGGAAGATTTGCATTTCTAAAAATATATCCAGTAGTTCACTGGTATAGTCAGTCACTTTGTACTACATTTGAGTTTTCCATTTATTCTTTTAAGATCACTACCTCCTTAAGTGGTAAACTTTATTTAAAATATTTTAAAAAAGATATTGTTAATGTCCTTTTATGATCTTGTTAAATAATCCAGAAGCCAGAAGTCAATCTCTGTCAAAGGCAAACAAAAATTTGTAGTTATGAGGACAGAAAGCAGAAATATTAAGTATGGTTATTTAATGTATTTTCTCTCCTAATATACTTCAAATGCCTGTATGTGATCATGTGTTCTTAAAAATTAATTAGACTCTTACTAGAGTTCAAGTAGGTGGATTTAAGCTTTTAGGTGATCCTTCTGAAGCTGTTTGGTTTTAGAATGTAGTAAAAAAAAAAAAAAAAGGAAGTCGTCACACTTGAAGTATTGTTCCACATTCAAAATGAAAGCATTATGAAGGAAAATTTCCACAAAGCCAAGCATCTAAATGACAAGAGAAGGACAACTAGAAATTAGGGATCTTAAAAGTGACTTTCAAGATTCTTTTGATTTAGTGCAGTGAACATTATAGGCCTTGATCTTAGTCTGTTTTCTGTTGCTCTAACAGAATCCCACATACTGGGAAATGTATAAAGAAAAGAAATATATTACATTACTGGGGAGTCTGGGAGTCTAACATGAAGGTGCTGGTATTGGGTGAGGGCCTTCCATTGATGTCATCCCATGGCAGAAAAGAGAGGATGGGGGTCCAAGATTTTTTTTATCTGGAGTAGGTTCCCAACATAACTAAATACCCCACTCTTATAATAACAGGTTAATATTCATAAGGCAGAGCCCTTAATGGTCCCACCTTGTAATACTGTCAGATGTCTGTTCAACTTCATCTCATGTTTTGGAGGGGACCTTCACACTAAAGCAGCTTCTGTCGTATTTTCTTAATTGTTTTTCTGGTTGTGTGGAGGTGATGCTAGGGACACATATATGTCAGCAGGAAAATGGGGAGCTGGTTGGAGACACAAAAGACACACTTGCTGCCTGCAGAGTGAAACTTGACATGTATTTTGTATGTGTCCTCTTTCCAGAATCTGTGAGAAGTTTCTACGATGGTTTGCTCAGCTCTAAGGAGGGTCATCCATGTACACATTTGCTTGGCGAGGAAGGCCAGCCATGCCCGCAGAGGCTATCAGCATCAGGCAAGGGACTCCAGGCCAGCTGCATCAGTATTGCCTGCCCAAGTGGCTCCTGGCAGTGTGGTAGAGCTGTTGGGCAAATCCTACCCTCAGGATGACCACACCAACCTCACTCAGAAGGTCCTTTCCAAAGTGGGCCGGAATCTGCATAACCAGCAGCACCACCCTCTGTGGCTGATCAAGGAGAGGGTGAAGGAGCACTTCTACAGGCAGTATGTGGGCCGCTCTGGTACACCACTGTTCTCTGTCTATGACCACCTTTCCCCAGTGGTCACCACCTGGCAGAACTTTGATAGCCTACTCATCCCAGCTGATCACCCCAGCAGGAAGAAGGGGGACAACTATTACCTGAATCAGACTCACATGCTGAGGGCACACACATCTGCACACCAGTGGGACTTGCTGCATGCAGGGCTGAATGCCTTCCTGGTGGTAGGCGACGTCTACCGGCGTGACCAGATCGACTCCCAACACTACCCAGTTTTCCACCAGCTGGAGGGTGTCCGGCTCTTCTCCAAGCACGAGGTGAGTCACAGGACACTTCTAATCATTGAAGTATATCAGGAACATTTTGTGTTGATGTCACTGGTGGTTATCTTAGTAATACCAGTAGTATTGTCCTTGCTCTTATTTTGATTTTATGAATCATCCTTCTTTTATGATATTCCTTGTGTGCGCTGTTGTCCCCCGATACGTGTCAGAAATGTATCTAACTTGATTTGTTGTGTTAGTAACTCCAGAAATTGGTAGACCTTTGTTTTCACTTGCGTGTTCTCATCCTTTCAGTACTACCTGCCTTTCTCTGGGCTACTTCTTGGGAATGGATAGTCCTTGGCTCAAATTCAGCCTTAACCCAAGATGACTAAGTCCATAGTGCTCAGGTTGATGCAGTTCTCAATTTGTAGAAGTTAATTGTGTTTTCGTGCCATCCGAGTAATGAGCTTCTTAAACACTGGGGAACTGGAGACTTATTGGCTCGACCGTAAATTGTTCTTGGCCCTGAGCTCTTTTCTCCTCCACTCCTGCTTTGCGTGATGGTGTAGAATCTCTTAATTGCCAGTGTCCATCAAGTGTGTGTTTGGATGCTTGGAGCCTTTTTTGATTAGAAAGTCTGATATTTTGGTCATTCTCAAAAGCATCAAATTCTTACATCTGTTAGATGCTATCTTAATACATTATGTGTATCTTTTTGTTTTCTTTGCAAATTATGAAAATTGTTAAAAAGCTTGAATCTAGTTCCTAAAACATTTCAACACCACTTTTCCTTCATTCAAATATTTTAAAGACCATTTCCGTTTTTTATGGTAAGGAACAGATGGAATTACAGTAGACTCAGGAAATATTTCACTTATGCCTTTAAGCAGTTTCCTCCCAAACATTGGAACAGTAGGAGTTATTGTAGTCACAAAACTCCCTTCTGCAAACACAAGCTAAATTGGCTGTTAATAAGAAAACAAACAGCATAGTATCCTTAGGCTAATAAATAAGCATTGTTTTAGTCTATTAAATAAGTCATTTAGCTGTTGACAATTGAGGGAGACTGTGTCCTCTCATTCTCTCCTTTTCTTTCCATTTGTTTTAGGAGTGCAGTTACCCTGTGAGTCTATGATAATGCAGCAGTAGGTTGACCTTTCCACAGAAAGGTCAGCAGAGCTGGATCTCAGGGGTGCTTAGATGAGCAGTCTTATTGTTTGGAACAGCCAACTATTTTCTAAGTTAGTAATAATAACTATTTATAAGGATACAAATGTATGAGGAAACTTAAAGGAAATGAACAAAGATAGGTCAGAATCTGGGAAATATGGTGAAATGATAGAATGCCATTTTCAGTATCTGCCAGAACAGCTGCGATGCCAGGGACATGATGTTCAGGTCATGAAATTGGACAGATGTTCAGTCCATCTTATCTTGTTAAAGAAGTAAAGAAGGAACAAGTCTGCATGCCATGAAAGAGGCCTTGAAGGTGGTGAGATACACACTACTGGTTAATGGAAAGAAAATCCAGGCTCCAGGAGAGGGAAGGAAGGTAATTAGCCCTTGTCTCAGTTCATATTTGTTTTGGGTTCAGTCCAATTTAATAGGTAGCATGAATGACTTACCTAGTCTGATAGTGTTACTGTATGTTGTGATTTATAGTTTGAAGACTTATGCACACACATGTATATGAATCTGACCTCCTTATGATTTGATAAGGTGCTTCCACATTCATTGTTTCATTTACTTCTCTCATTAAAACCAGTGAAATGTATTATTTCCTCTTCACCCTGAGAGGTTTGAGGTCTTGACCCTTCAGTGTCAGAGCTAAAAGTGGAGCACAGGTCTTATTCTATTGCCCAGTAGACTAAATTCTGCTGATTTCCATGGAACTGCTTGCTAGTAGTGCCTGTTTATGACCCTTGGAAAGCTTCTCTTTCAAGAATGGTGGGGGAAAAGAAAAAGGGTGTTGGTTTCTGAATTGCTGCCTTCAACTGAAATGTTGGTACTAAGTCTGATCTAATCTTAGCCCTTAAAGTACTTTTCCTTCTGTTTATTCAAGAAAAGGACAATTATAGATTAGGGATCTAAAAGTGGCATTGTTAGTTAGGATTTTATATATAGTTGTAATCCTGCTACATATGTATTTTTAAAAATCTCTTGTTGCTGTTTTTGTATTATTTAATAATTATAATTGTTTTAGTCACTATACAATACACTTCAGCAAGAAGAAAAGTGATTGCAGAGTTCTAGGGCAAAAGAACCAATGATAAGCATAGAAATGGATCTACAGTAACAGTATACTCACTTAACTTTTTGTGTTTTTTTGGTGCTAGGACTTGGACTCAGAGCTTCCTGCTTACTGGACACATGCTCTTAACACTTGAGTGTCATCCTTTTTAATTTTTTTGGTTATTTTTCAGATAGGACATTGTGTTTCTGCCTGGGGCCAATTGCAGACCACAATCCTCCTACCTATGCCTTATGCATAGCTGGGATTATAGGAGTGAACTTCCACGCCCAGCTTCTTTGTTGAGACAGACTCTGTTTCTTTTCTTTTCTTTTTTTTTTTTTTTTTTGTTAAGATGTGCTCCAAAAGTTAGAGGCCAATCTCCTAAAGTTTGCTAGCCTTGAACCACAATCTTCCTGATCTCCACCTTCAAAGTACCTGTGATTACAGGTGTGGCTCACCATGCTTGGCTCCTTGTTTAACTATTAATTGTGGAGAAAAACCCTTGAGTGCTTTGAAAAGAGCAGACATCTCAAATCTGCAAACAACTCTAATATATCAGAGAGTGTTATCAATAGGTAAAGTCTGTAGAGGTTTTTATTTAGGGAAAGGATGGAAACACTAACTCAGATTTAGATTGCAATATAATCTTTACCTTCAAAACTGATGAAGTGAAATAGGAAGAATGTAGAAAATGATCTAAGTTCAATAGAAGTCAGGATAAAGGAAAGAAAATTATGGTAAGTCGACCATGATTTTCAAATTGAGACTGTATACCTAAGTCTAAGTATATCAGTATTCACAAATTTAAATGGGTTAAAGTCAGCAATTAAGAAACTAATTATCAGATTGGACATTTAGAGAACTGGAAACAAAAGCACATCACAGGTGGGAAATGAAGGTGCCCAGCAACAGCCTACCAAAAGAAAGTGGTACAGCAGTATTAATTAGATAACATAGGAAGAAAGGATACAAATTATGAGCATTTATGCACTCACTATTATAATCTTGATACATAAAGCCAGGATGAAGAATTATAAGTTGAATTTGACACATTCATGATCATGTTCGAAGGTTTTAAATGACTTCAATCAGAAACCAACAGATTAAGCAGACAAAATGAGTAAAGGTAGAGAAAATCTGAAAAAGATGATCAACAATTTTTACTTATATTTTTCTTAAAATTCTCTGTGTTATATATCTGTATGTATGAAGATCAATTAATTCAATTTAAAATGTTTAAAGCAGGTCACATTGTTATTAAAACAAGTAGAAGAGAGGTAAGTGAATAGTTTGTGGACATCCCCAAGTCTTTATTCTAAAGAGTAGAGCAAGTGGAACAGCAAAACCAAAATCCATACACAAAATCCATAACACAACTAGGTGGCAAGATCTTCCTGGGATCCACACAAATGTGTGGAAAGTCACAACTGTCAGCTTGAAGTTCTGCACTGTGTCAGAACACAGTGGTGCCTAAGAAAAGGAGACCTTTCTTAGGAATTTGTCAGGACAATCTTTGGACAACCAAATATAATAGAGACACTTTGAAGTGAAGCAGTAGTTAGACCATTTGTTAATGTTTATTAACATCAAAGAAAGAGGATTGATCAGAGTTACATGTCTCCTGTTAAAAGGATGTAATACCAACTATAAAGACTTTCCAAAACAGTTGGACTTGAATTTGATCAAGTTCTAGATTCAATTGCTACTCAAGATGTGATCTGCAGAAATAGGAATTGAAAGTAAGTACTTAGAATGTCTAACACCACAAATGTTTAAAAGTGCTTAAGCCATCTTATTCCAGCATGTTATTAGTGTACTTCTTTTGTTCTTAAGCACTCTTGGTGAGTTACATATGTGGAGCCTATGTACTTGTGTGTGCAGCTGTCCCATGTCTCCATTCATGACTGATTGGTAATCTAAAACTGTCCTTTTATCACAGTTTGAAATACACTACTCTACCTGATAAATGACCCAATTTCTTCAAGTAAACTGCAAGATAAACAAGATAGGAAGAAATAGCATCTAGAAATGAAAAGAGAGATCAGCCAATCACAATATATAGATCCTACCAAGACAAAACATGTTAAGGTAAAAAGATAACATTTAAGACCACTGGAATTTGAATCCCAACTAAATATTGCAAAATAAGTAGCTCATTTTTGTTTTTATTTATTTTACCTGTGATTCTAGTATTATCTTCTTGTAAAGTCCTTTCCTTCAGAGATACATTTTGAAATACCAGTGGCAAAATGCTATAATCTCTTGGATGTTCTTCAAAATAATGTGGTAAGTGCGAGTAAGCATTGGAGGATGGATGTGAAAGGACTGGCTATTAATTGTAATTTAGCTAGGTGTTGGTACGTGAGGATTCATTACCATAACTATGTTTGTAATTTTTCTAGTGCATGATTAAAAAACAAAAAAGGAAGGAAAGCATTAGGATCAGTCAATTAAAAAACACAGGCTGAGCATGTAACATAAGAAGATAAGAAACAACCTTGAGATGGTCCCTGTGCTCATAGGGAAGACAAATCTCAAGACCCTGTCTGGGGATGGAGGGGGGATTGGTACCAGTGGGAGGGTAGAGGATGTGGGGAAAGGGTGTAGGAGGGTGAATATAGGGCAAATACTGTATACACATGTATGTAAATGGAAAAATGACCTGTTGAAACTATTCTAGGAAATGGGAGGAGGGAGGAATGAAGGAGAATGGTGGGAGGAGTGAATTCAGGTATGATATATTCAATATATTGTGAGAAATTTTGTAAATGACACAATGTACCCCTAGCACAACATTAAAAAAAGGCAGTAGAAATGA